TGAAATTAGACTCTGTTAAGGAAAGTTGATAGCTTGCATAAGACCCTCTCGGACTCTTACCATACAATGTTTCCACATAGTCATCTTGATCACCAGCATGATCAGCATCATTCATGATTTGTGCTAAAGCCGTCGAAGGGTGTAATCGTTCAAGATTTTGCTGTAAATTTAATTCATCTTTTTTCTGGGTCCTCAAGTTTGCCCGAGCTTCGAACAAGTTACACTGGACGCCTGATTTTTTACGTAGAGATTGACTACCAGAGGAATTCGAAGTGTTATAATCAAGCTTCGTTTTCTTTACATTAACTTCCATAACTGGTTGCGGCTGTATAGAATCTCCTCTACCCTTTCTGTGCCACGTCTGTAAACTAGACGTGCAAGCTTCTGTGGGTAGCATGTCATCGTCTTTATTTAATTCAGAAACATCTTTACAATCATAAAGGCTAAACTTGCATATTTTCAACATTAAAGCCAACACATGATTACAGAAACCAATCTTTTCTGCAACACAGGAACATTCGGCATTTTTTACCTCTGCAGATACAATGTCCAAAGCAACCTTCAACTTGTGCGGTGGTTCATTCTTTTTGAAGCTGTGATAGCACAGACATTTACAATAAAAGTGTTTCTCGTCGCTGTTGGCTAACACGTCTTTTAGGTATTCATCATCTAGAAATGTTTTGGCTCTTCTCATACATGTTGGAACTGTATGATTTTTGCTATGTGGATAGAAGGACTTGCCAGATTTTGAGATATGCAAGTTCATCTCTGCACGAGTAAATAAAGGCATACGACTCAGAGAAGTCGACCAACTGTTTGTCGGGTAGATAACTCGACTTGTATTTAATGTGTTTTCCAATTCGTTAGTATCCGGTTCGATTTCTTGGGAAGTTTGTTTTCTCGCTTTTCTTTTCGAAAATATCTTGTTTTCGTCGGGGTCAACGATGCTCTTGTCGCGGCCTGATTTTACATACTCGTCAACCCTTCAATGAAAAACCAAAACATAATATCAACACAGCGCAAAATCGAGTCCATATTGACACATGTAGAATTTTTTAAGCTTACCGTTTTACGAATTGTGCCGTCGTTTTAAGGCCTTTGCACGAATCACCCCGACATTTTAATCAAAAACGAAGCTCGTCCATCTTTAGCTTAGAAGATATTCTTCCAGCTAAGGAAGCAGCGGGAATATCCTCTTCGGTTAATTCTACGTCAAAGTTATCAAAACCTGATGAGGCCATGTTATTTAAAAAATATAAACAATTTCAAAATTTTCGCGCGAAAAATTAACCTGACTAGCCTCGTTTTCGTGTAACTCGCCACAGTCCTCCAGACTTTGACAGCTCTTTTTCGAATCGGTGTATTGTGACTCACCATTTCGTTCCGTAGATTACGGCAAAATTTCTTGAAGTTGACCATCGTTGTCACTGGATTTCTTCTGTGATATATATACTAAAACTGTCTGTACCAGTGTTGGTAGTACCAATGTGAAAATGCTGTGCTGAGTGGTTATATTACTACCTTAAAAAATAAGCAGAAACTCGACGTTTCGAGCGAAGGCCCTTCGGTAAAGAGTTCGTCAAGAGTTAGTGGCAGGGATCGGGGGAAATGCACGTGCTTTTATACTAAGAGTACTGTATGAAAGCATCACGTGACAAAAAATAAACCAATTCGATGGATTTAATCATACCAAGGTGCAAAACAAAATATGTAAATCGCATTACAGAATATAATATAATTAAAAATATAAAAATAAACAGGAAGTTAAGACAATTACTACAAAAAATAATCAAAATAAAACACGAGTGGGAATAAGGAAAAAGTAAAAGTAATAAATAGAGGTTGTCAATGTCTGCTATAGACAGGCAAGGACAGATGACATCATAGCCAAACCAGAAGACATGTCTTCTGGATTGTCTATGATGGCATTAAACATAAGAAAAGCGTTCATTAATGCCAGAAGGGTGAACAGTGCCAAGTTTGGATATGAGGCGCATTTCATGTCGTTTGCGGCTATCGTTGCTTCCAGAAATGGGACAGAGGGCTCGAATTACCATATCTGAAACACTGTGATTGCCATTATTAAAATGTCTGGCAACAGGTTGGTTAGCATCATTGCCAATAACTGCACGCCGATGCTCACCAAACCTTGTCCTTAAACATCTTCCAGTTTCCCCAATGTAAAGCATGCCACATCTGCTGCAAGAGATGCAGTAGATGAGATGGGAGGAGGCGCACGTGAAATGGTGCTTGATGTGAAATTCAGATTTAGGTGCCGAAACAATAGTGGTGGAATCTATAAAATCACAGGTTTTACATTTCGACGACAGGCAAGGAAAAGTGCCTTTCTGTGACGTCGAAGCCTGTGCTAGGGAGCTATGGACAAGGGTTTCACGGATATTTTTGCTGTGTCGAAAAGAGACTAAGGGGTTATCGGAGAAAATGGAAGATGTTTCAGGGTCGTTTTTCAAAATATGGAAATTCTTGTTGATGACATCTCTAACTTTGAAATTGAAAGGATGATAGTTTAATACTAGGGGGATTTTGTTGTTGCCTGTGACATTAGACACAGGGTCTGTGAGGGTGTCAGAACGGGGAATTTGGGAGGCCTTCGAAAAGGCAGTGTCTAATAGAGAGGTAGGATAACCACGCTGGACAAAAAAGTGTCTCATCTCCAGACTTTTGGCCTGAAAATCTTCGTCTTCACTGCAGATGCGGCGAAGACGAAGGAACTGAGAGAAGGGAATCGACCTTTTGGTGTGGTTGGGGTGGGAAGAGGAAAATAGAAGATAGCTATGGGAGTCAGTGGGCTTGTAGAACACAGAAGTAGATAGTTTGTTACCATTGATTGATACAAGGATATCTAAGAATGATACACTGGTCTCACTGATCTCCCATGTGAACTGGAGTGCTGGATGAAAATTATTAACAAAGTTAATAAAGCGTTCCAATTCGACACGAGAACATGATGCTGTGCCAAGACAGTCATCTATGTACCTACCAAGGTAATCAGGGATGGGATCAGTGTACTGTTCGAAGATTTGTTTTTCCACAAAACCAACAAACAAAAAGTTGGGTCCCATTTTAGTTCCCATTGCTACACCATTTATCTGTTGGTAATGCTCACCATCAAAGGAAAAATTGTTGAGGGTAAGCACCAACTCAGCCAATCGGACCAAAACAGAAGTGGCTGGTTCCTGGTTAGGGCGTTTATCTAGAAAGAATTTTAGGGCCCTCAAACCATCATGATGCGGAATTACAGTGTATAAGGATTTGACGTCCATGGTGAAAATGAATTTGTGAGTGCCATGAAAATGAATGTTCTGGAGAATTTGAAGAGCATGCTTGGTATCCTTGATATAGGATGGTAAGTCCCTAACCAAGGGTGCCATGACGCGATCGAGAAAACTGGAGATGAGTTCGGTGGGACAACCACAAGCAGATACAATAGGTCTACCTGGGTTGTCAGGTTTGTGAATTTTGGGCAAGAAGTACATGACAGGTGTGCGAGGTGTGATGTGGCAAGAAGTATATGACAGGTGTGCGAGGTGTGATGTGGCAAGAAGTATATGACAGGTGTGCGAGGTGTGATGTGGCAAGAAGTATATGACAGGTGTGCGAGGTGTGACGAGGTGTGATGTGTATGGGTTTGACACAGCAAAAATATCCGTGAAACCCTTGTCCATAGCTCCCTAACACAGGTTTCGACGTCACAGAAAGGCACTTTTCCTTGCCTGTCGTCGAAATGTAAAACCTGTGATTTTATAGATTCCACCACTATTGTTTCGGCACCTAAATC